TCAGATCATGTATCTATTTCATCAAATTGCTTTATTAAAAATAATTGTTCATTATAAACAGAATTCTAAATTTAATTTGCTACACTGCTAATGAATGATCAGTGGTAAATTTTGGAGTTGCATGTTGTTTCCTAAGATCTGACAACATGAATGCAGTCATCCAGATTTGTAAAGGACTTTTTTCTCTTCTCTTTTCTCTTCTCTTTTCTCTTTTCTTTTCTTTTGTCTTTTCTTTTCTTTTTCTTTTCTTTTCTTTGTAGTGTGCATCTATTTCATGTTAAATGATTAACCAGGCTACCACATGAGTATTTGCTGCTCCTTGAGTTTTTGAAAATTATTTATTTCTAGAAATAATAATGTGACCTGGTTTGGCTATTTTAAAACATATTTAGTTGTATGTATCTTGCTTTATAAATGTATCTGCAGCTAATTATGAACTACCTGTGAAAGTATACTGAACTTCAGGTTTTCTGTGAAATTTTCCTTCTATGAATGCTGGATACTACTTGATGACTTATACTATTTGTTCACTCAACCAAAAATGTAAATAGACCTCTCTTCTCTCACCCTACGCTATCATAAACTAATTTTACATCTTTCCAAAATCATAATGAAAATCTAGCCTTATAGAAAGTCTTGCTCTTCCCTCTTGGCTCTATCAAAATTATGAAAAGAAACTAATGATACCTTACTTCACTGTCCAAAAAGAAAAGAAAACATTTCAAAACAAACATAGATGTTTACAGCTGTATGGTAGTTAATATAAATTTACTAAAATGTTAATGTTTATTATAAAATGTTAATTTCAGTTTTATATTGGATGCTTTGAATGCTTGTATGGGATATTGATAAAATGTTTCATTTGCAGGGAGACTATTCTTTCTATGCCCATTAGAAATAATTTAGGCACCTCCTCTTTTTTTTTTAAACAAATTTTCTCTAAAAATCTCCAACCATGTGAAAACAGATAAAATCTTAGGAATGAAAACTAGGAGATAACAACAGGAAATACTAATACTTAACAACACACAAACATCTTGCTGCTAGGGGTATACCAAATATTTAGCAGCAGATCATGGGTCTCTGAGGAGTCTTTTCTGTGAACCCTCATTTGGCAACAAATTCAATAAGGATAACTAGAATATTTTTCCAGTATATGTATTTGTGGAGAATTAGAGGGAAAAAAAAAATTAAAAACCTGTGAATACTCAGGAGAACGGCAACAAAGCTCCCCTTAACAGGAGGTGAGAAGGAGATGCAAAAACATCTGATTGTGTGGAACTGCAAGAGCTATGGACAGAAATAATATCACTATAACAATACAACTTCTCACAAACTTAGTAAATTATATTTGTAATATCTCTACTTATGTTAGCATTTTTCTGAAAACAAAACACTTTTTATATTAAAATTTTACTAAAAAACAGAGGGAAAACCCTATGTATGATTTTAAAGTTAATTGTAGAAGGAGGAAGAAGTGACTAAGTGTTAGGAAAGAATGGCAACTGTGGCTTTCAATACTTCCTATAGGATAGGAAACCTCTGAATCACCAATAACCCTTTACAAGAAAAAGCATGCAGATCTTATTTGTAACCTACTGAAAACACATAGCATAACAGTAGAAAACTCCATGTTAACTATAACTTAACTATTTGAATCATTGTACCTGGGTAATCTAAAATAGACATTTTATTGTGACATTATATTAATATCAAATGCCACAGGAAAATCTTACAGTATATGCAATGAGAAAAAACCCACAAGCTAAAATCCTTACCAATATATATTCATATATCGAATCTACTCTTATGTGGTAAATAAAAAAATAAACTAAAATTAAATTTTGAAAGGAAAAACACTAAAACCTATTGCTAAAATTCAGCTATAAATTCTATGCAATTCTTGGAAAAAAAATAGAAAAGACTACTTCTTCGAAAGGTCAAGTTTATAAAAATTGATAATCGATTTTGTCATATTAAAATGTGGTGCAACTCTTTTCTTCAACTAATGGAGTGATTATAAACACCTACTGCAAAAAAACAAAGCATATTTGAAGGCTCCCTGTGCACTAGCCAAATTCAACAGGCAGTCCATTTTCTATTAGTTTGTGATACATTCACTCCCCTTCTAGTCAAAACAAGTAGTAATAACTGGAAATAAAGATTTGTTTTGTCACAGACTGTGAGTGCTGATGAAAACATTTTCCACGGTTTGTGCATCTATCCAGTCACTTGTGCTCAGAATGTACAGTCTTTCCATCAATGGAGCCCTAACAGCAGTCACTTGCAGTCTCCCTACCCAGCTGCCTAAGCAAGTGATATTATTTCAATGACATCTACTTGAATTGGTCAGTTAAAAAAGTTCTAATGCGGACCAGAAACACAAACCTAAACGTAGCAGTGCAAACCACATTAACTCACTGGGGCTAAAAATCTCATCATTGTGCTGTAGAAAGTGTTAGATTTTAATAAGCAAAGCGTAGGTCTTATTTCAGACCTTAAAGGAAGATACACTCAAGTTTACTCTTGAAAACAGGTATGTTTTATTGAGTAAAGTTTTACCCTCTTCCCTACCACCCAAGATTCATATACTTCTAGGAAAAGCAGACTTGCTCTGCCTAGGCGTAAATAAGATGATACCTACCAAAGCTGTTGACGAGGAAAACAGGACTAAACCTGGAAATTACATCTTTCAAGTTCATCATAAAAATAGGATAAATATGAAGTCACATCTGTAACTAAAGTTTTTTTATGTCTGTACATAATCAGAATACAAGAGCAGCTTATTAAAAAAAAAAAAAAATCTCACCAATGCAAGGTGTTTGAGTGCTATCTAGTCTCTCCAGCTACTAAAGCCTAAGATCTCAATCCAGCCCCTGCAGGTGCAGTTACGAAGTTCTCCATTTTCAGACCAGGCCATAGCTCAGATCTCACCTATTCGCTGCAGTTACTGAATTATTGTGTCTTCAGCTTAATATTTTCAGGACACTGTTTCCTCTGTGAGCCATGACCAATCATATCTTGTGACATGACATCTCTTAAAACTAATCCACTCCTGAGAACCAAGATTATAAAAAGATGCAGGGCAATAACTACTTGGGACACATACTCCTGTGGAACTTTGGGAAAAAGCATAATTATTTCAGATGTTCTCAATGGCAAGTCTATTTGGAACAGGTAGTAAAACAGCTCTATAAATATACATTTTGAGGTTTATTTAGTGGTGTCCTCACTGCCTTTCTTTTGCTGGCTGTGCACTCCTAAAGTCACCTTGCACTTGTATAATCCTGAGTACCTGTTGCACTTCACGTTACTTACGGTAAATCAGATTCGGAATCCAGGTGGCTCATGATGTGGCCATAAAAACAAATGTGCTGTCACAGAGCACTATAAGGACTGAGTTACTAGCAATCACATTATTGCTTTCTGGCCTATTTTTGTTGCTAATACCTCTGTCATTGTCTTATAATGAAACTATCAATGTTGCTTGGATTTATCCTATATTGACATTTACTGTCATGGCTTTTTGGTTTCTGAGTATTCATACATTAATTTACATTAATAAATTAATACAAAAAGTCTGCTAGCCAAAGTAATCATGTATTTCATGAAAGTTATTACAGATCAATATTATTACATTATTCCATTACATGCCACAGTAAATTTGTAATTATTATTGTCATCTTACTATGAAGAGATGAATCATCCAAAAAATCCTCCTCGGATTCTTTGATTTCTCCAGGTCTTGATTCATGAAATTCAGTCCTAAGAGAGATTTTCCACCACCTGAAAATCGCCTACAATTGTGGAAGAAGAAAAAGAAAAGGAAAAAAGAAAAGAAGAAATTAATATCAAGTACCACGATATAAATTCAGGACTCCAATTATGTAAATATTACTGCATTCCCAAAACAAAGTTATCATAAGAGATCAGACCATGGTTACTTTACCAGCAGCCCTGCAACATGCTTCAAAGGACAATAAACATCCCATAATGCACCTAGCCAAGTGTGAAATGTTTTTACATACAAAGAAAACGTTCCCAACCCCTGCATGCAAATTGTTTGCAGAAATTAAAAAATGTTTAATGACACCTCAACTTGCAAAACCATAAATATTCTCTTTTTGTTTTTCACTTAGTCACAGAAACACAATTCGTCAGGCATTAGATTACGTGGTTAAGTAGAAATACCCATTCAACTGCTCAGGCATTCAAAAGTTGCAGTATTAGAAGTTAAACTGTCATTTTAACATTTTGTTAAATGCAACTCATATTTTCAGAGTCAGAAAAAAGAAAAGAAAACGTGCACTACAAAGCATGGAACTGAGACAAAAGATTAATATGAATAGCAAATTGTGTGGCTATGAAATGATGGAGAAGAAGTGGCTCTGGCTATCAGTAATTTTCCCAGAGTTATCTTAAAACATTACATATGTGCTTGAACAGTGTTTCAGCTTTCAATATTGACTTTTGTTTTGTTACTGTTGCAGCTGGGTCTGCATGAGAGGAAAGTCGTAATCATGTCTCTTCCTTCACACACATTAGCAAAGATCACATTCCGAGCCAAAAGTAGGATTCAGTTGCTGTTGTAGGCAAGGTTAAAAAACACATATCTTGTAATCTTACTAACATCAATCTGTTTCATTGAGAAAAGGGAGGATTTTACAACGTTATATGTATAGGTGGATTCCTGACACACTGAGTGATAAAACTGGCAAATGATAATTAGTGAGGTGTACATTTATAAACACACACTTGTGTATTTAAAAAATGCACTCTGTAGAGTCTTATTTTTCTACTGGCACACAGAAAAGGAAAATCAAAAGCAAGTTATCTGTTATCTGTCAATAAGCCACAGAAGACTACTCACATATATTGACTAAAGAACACAGAGTTAAAACTTACTATTACAAATCTTAGACCTGACAACAGTGGTTTACATACCTCAACACAAAATCTAACTTTAGATTCCTCTCTGGTATTTCAGTGTCAAAATGTCGACCTAAAAGTTGAGAAGAATTAAGTATTTGTAAATCCCAATGAGTTGCATTCACTTTCATCATTAATTTTCAAATTAAAGCTCAGATTCCAGAGAGTCTGCCAAGGCAAGCCCACACCAATCACGTCTGTATTTTTCAAGTCTTGCTTGTATCCTGTTGATACCTCACATACAGCAACAATAAATAAGTTTGAATAAAGGCTTGAAATCTACATTTGAATGTCAAATATAGCCAGATAAAATTCATCATTTTGATGCTTATTGCAGCTAATATATCATTATAGGAGGGAATCAGAATCATTAAATCATATTTCTGATAGCATACATACAAAATAGCTTCGATTAACTCTCAGACATATCCATAATACTCTATGAAATAACACTTATTATGTGAATAGAAGAAAAAACACCCTATTCAGTTGCATAAGTTCATCCTATTTTACAACAACACACAGTCTTTATTCCTTTGAATTAAACAAATGCGTTCATCCAATCTGCATTCTAGAATTCAATATATGAGAAATAAATTATATCACTGAAACATTTCACAATAGCAGAGTTAACATTTCTGTAATGTACATGCACAGTATAGACCACCGTGTTGCTAAAATAACACCACTTAATGTACTAGTGGCAATGTGAGAATTCAATGCAAAACAGATTATAAACCACTTGCCTTTCTGTTTCAATGATGATCTTACTACCTGGGAAGGCTTTAGAACTAGTATGTTTGTAGCCTACTGTGGAGATAACAGGACAGCGAATGCTGTACTGTACTTCCAAAAGCACTTTTTTATCTCTGGCAGTATAGGGAGAATCAGCAAGTAAGGTTACTTCCATTCTTATTTGTGGAAAATGTGAAGTAAGAAAAAGGTCAGAACAAAACTGAAATGCAAATGGAGAAAGAAAAGGCATCTCTAAGTGTTCCTTAGCTTGCATACCCTTGAAAATCATAGAGTCATAGAATGGCATAGGCTGGAAGGGACCTCAGAGATCATCTAATCCAACCTCCCTGTTATGGGCAGGGATGCCTCTGAACTAGACCAGGCTACTCAAGGCTCCATCCAAGAATACAGTATATTATAGGGAAAAAATAATTGTTGAAAGAGAAAAGAAATCTGGCTAATATGCTTTCTCTCAGTCTTTTCATGTTTGTGTTGGAAGTAACATTTCTCAAAATAAAACAACAAAAAAAAGGTTTCTCGGCACGGAAACACCAAGTGTAACTAAAAAAGAAAATAGCCACCTGTCCCTAAAACCACTTACCAAAAATGATTAATGATGACAGTTGCTTTTCAACTTTTGAACTTCAATACTTAACAACATTCTTCAGACTAATTTTTTTTGTGACATTATGGATTTAACTATACACAAATTTATAAGTCTAATTTTTGAAAGAGCAGAACTATGTTGCACAACAGACTACAATGTGTTGTGATCTGTTATAAAATACATTAATAAATACTTTTCAGTCCGGGATATACAGTACATTAAAATTAAGTGTATACAGACAGCAGATGCCCACCCAAATTCTGCACTGCTATAAGTAAGATGAACTTTCCACAGTAAGTATTCTATGCATTTTTTTGTTTAGTATTTTGTGGGTATAGGCGTATTTACCTATAATATAAGTTTATGTATACACAGGTGTACAATAACATATTTAATCCAAACACTAGAGTGTGCATATGTGTGTATACATGCTTGAATAAGAATTTATCTTTATACAATCCAACGAATCCTAAAACGGAACATTAAGTCAATACTCTACAAATGAATTACCTCTGTCCTATTTTCAAAGCAGTTATAGTAAATGTTTTAACATGGTTATAAAAATTTATTTTCTTGTAGTATTGTACAATTATAAATTCCAAAGCATTTTAATACTGAAACATGCCAAAACTTCAAAATTACATAAATACATATTTCAATAATCTCTTTTCTTAATTGTTATACTAGGAAGCACAATGCAACAGAACGATCTGTGGGAATGGGAAGATCAGGTCAACATGCAGAGGCACAGGAAAAGTAAAATATTCAAGTCATTCTATTAAGCGCCACTGTGTATTTTCTAGACATTATTCTTTGATTTACAGTGGAACACACTGTCAACAGCATTATTCCATTTAAAAACTTCCTTGTGTGCAAATACCCTAGACAAACTACAGTTGCCTTGGTAATTTGTTAGCATATGGTTATTTCAAAGAAAAATATTGCATAGATTTTGTAATACCTATAGTTTTTGCATAGATTAAAAAAATGAAGAATGGAAAGTAGTGTAAGTGTACCCTGGTTACCATGGACACATTACATTCTCGACATTATTTGGATGTGCAAGTGTGAAAGCAATTCACTACCACATTGCTTACTCCATTGGCATTTCTTCATGAAAAAAGAGAGAAGAGGAAAGAATGAGCAGAACCAAATCTAAATAGGAGCACTCAGCCAAGGCTTCGGATAAAAAGTCATAGCAATTTTTTAAACAAATAAACAGGTAAAATATTTAAGTGAAAATTAGCAACAAATTATTTAAGAAGTATCTATTGTTAAAATTGATCTGGATTGTAGATTAGTAGTATAGTAATATTTACATATGAAGAAAATAATATTAGAAGTTTGTCATACGGTGAGCAATCTTTTAAGGATGCTGGGCTCAACCTTCCCTTAATTTAATCTATTTTGGAAGCTATAGAACTAGAGACAAGTATCATATGACAGACTCATACTATAAAATGAGAAACCTCTGGGGAAAGCTGAAGAAAAATGGTGTGAATTGTGAAGGCCTGTTATAAAGGCACATACAAGAAACTGTTTTTTTCTCCAGTATACATTTTAAGGATTTCAAACTTCTACAGACTCAGCTGTCTGCTTTGCTTAAAACTAGTAATTGAGAATACAATTTCTCAGATTACAGGTTATTTGGAGATTAATTTTCCCTGTTTTTCTCTTAAATTATTCTACTTTAAATAGTTAAATATTTATTGGAGGAGGAAGGTGATTCCAGAATCTAGAAAATAATGTTTGCTGAGATTTAGGAGATCTAGATTCAAATATTTTCCTCTGTCCCCGGTGAATGGCCTAATTCCCCAGTCTTTCTTTTGGGCCTTGGAATTGTGACCACAGTCCAAGCTCTCATTCCTCTGTGCAGTGAAGAAACCACTATGTCTTCTACTGAAAAAAACAGTCACATTCTCAGTAAGTCTTAGTGACTTTACCTCTACTAAATTCTTTCTCCCAGGCTTTTATCCCATATTCTATTATCTTTCCACAGATTAAAAATATAAAAAAAAAAATCCCTGCTTTTCACAGAATCACACAGAATCACAGAATGTTAGGGATTGGAAGGGACCTCAAAGGATCATCTAGTCCAATCCCCCTGCCTGAGCAGGACCACCTAGATCAGATCACACAAGAATGCGTTCAGGTGGGTTTTGAACATCTCCATAGAAGGAGACTCCACAACCTCTCCGGGCAGCCTGTTCCAGTGTTCTGTTACCCTTACTGGGAAGAAGTTCTTCCTCATGTTTAAGCGGAACCTCTTATGTTCCAGCTTATATCCATTTCCCCTTGTCCTATCATTGGATGCCACTGAGAAGAGCCTGGTTTGGCTGGGTTTTGTGGGTTGAAGGAGACTATAAAAATTTATGTTGCCTTACTACTTGATTTCAAAATTAGAGTATTCAAATGCTTCTGTCCCTCATTTTATCTCATTTTCTCTTGCAGAGTATCATTGCATTTTTGCTGCAATTTCAAGTAAATCTATTGTTTTCAAAGCATTCAATTTTCATGCAACTCAGT